CTGACTGACCCTTACCAACGTGATTAGGCAGCTGAATGTTGAAAATGCCCCGTATAAGAGGCAAGTATCCCAACGCTTTGTTTACTCTGTGTCTAAGCCTTTACCGTAAACCTTACAACAATCTTCTTTACTACAGTCCAAACAGCCAACCGGGGGACAAGTCCAACGATTGGTTGGCCGTCACTAAATACTGTCCCATGGTAACGCTCAGTAATGCATGACTAAATCCACAAAGAGCCAGTTGAGGATATCTAACCAATGCCATCGCTGTTGAAAACCTTCACCAACGCCAAAGAGATAAATGTTTCCGAGTGTATAAAGCCATGCGCAGTGAACTCGTCCTCGAGTTCAGTGTTTTTTAAGTCCTTGTATGTGATATACCACTACTGGGTAGCCTACTTTGTCTTTGTTGCGGTGAGCAAAGAGATGGAGGATTGTAACCGCGCCCAAAGGTGCCTTTCTTTACTAGAGCTTGATGCCGCTCTGGTAGTGTGCCCCAACACTGTTTCAATCCATGTAGAGTTAAGGCTATGTATAACTAAGGTTCCAACTAGGTTAACGTTTGCTTTACTGCAGCTAATCAGTTGCTGTTTTATTACCACAAACAGGTAAACTCTGCTGACGTTGTATGCTCATTTGATACTGACTTGTGGCATTTTGCTCAATAACTCAGAAAAAGGAATCTTGTCACAATAGCTGAGGGAGAAACGCTTCAAAAAGTAACTCAGGGGCGCATATGTACAATGTGTCCGTTATACCTGAACCGGTCGCCGTAAGGCAGCTATGGTTTCCACTTTTCACTAGCGCACTTCGCGTTGATATGGGATATTCGGGACATTCAAAACCTAAAGCGCTATCAAATCAGCAAGTTGAATTGGAAGCAAATGCGCGTGCACGTACCAGTGTTTGGGGCGCACATAATCGTGTGCGAAGCCATGGATTTCGCTGCACCATTTAGTGTGTGGGCATATGACATACTGAGCATCCATGTCACAGAGCGAGACAACTGCCAATCCTTAGCTTGACAGTTCGTCTTGAGATGAGTCACAGACAAACCACATGAGCCAATTGTAGGATAAAGAGCTTTGGGTCCAACAGCCGCAGTGTAACTATTGTTTGATGATGCAAGCTAAGCGGTGTGATGCTGGTCATTTTCTTGTTTGATCACAGTCGCAGCAATGAAGTATGAGTATATATTCCCGTCAGCAACTTACCTCCAATCTGAATTATATTAAGCGACTGATGTGTTTGTTCCTCGACTGTATGGAGAGTGCGGGGCAAATGTTTCAGAAACTGCGCGACGATACAATATGATCAACGCTAGGATGCGGCCTGTCAGTGGTCGTTACTTGCCTACACTGTTGAAAGAGTTCGTTAAAACTGGGAGTGTGTGTGACGACAGAAAAACCGGGCGGCCTCGCACCACCACGCAGGACTTTACAGCTTGTAGTATTATCCGTAAGGTATCCATAAGGGAGGCTCTTAGCATACGTAGAATTGTCCGTCACCACCCGGTAGCTGTTCGCGACCTTTTAGGGGAAAGACCCTCTTGTAGGTTTAGGGCACTACAGGTTCAGGTTTGAAATCCCAACGAGCCGTTCAAACGGAATTCATTTTACCGCTGGTTTGCAAAGCATCTGAGCATTCACTCATAATTTTACTGCTATGGAAATTTTTACTTGCCCTACATAAAGAAGCAGCATTTTGAAGCGAAATCTAACCCACCCCGATACCCATCTTTGCATATTCAACACAGCGTAAAGCTGGTAGTTTGAGCAATAACTGGTCGGATAATTCCGGGACCATTATTCCCTCAGGAAGTGACCAGTAAGTTCTTACTTTGTAGTACTCATTCTTTACTTTCATAGCATTGTGGGACAAGGAACTGTTCCAAACCTGCATACTTCCACCACTGGATGCCGACTGGTACGTCGTAACATATAGGGGCAATAGGATGGTGCCTCTGCACGTTATGCTCAAACGGTGAGAAAGGGGATTTACTGTGTTGCTGTGAAGTTTCGTTATTAATTAGATTCAAGCAGATAGCCACCACATATCTAGGAAGGTACTTTCCTGGATGTGTGGCGGTTGCCTGCCTGAGTTTAACTGCGACGAATCTTTCCAAAATTTCGATCGTCGTTGTATCCGCTGAGGCTAATGAAGTAGCTCGGTGGTCACCGTATTTGCACCCGTTGCATTTCTTTCCATGTGGTTACATAAGCACGCCGGATTCACTTGTGCAACTGAAAGATAACATTATGAACGAATGACACACATTTACAAGGGAAACGGAGATAGTGCTTGCCAACTGCATCAAGCGATTTATTCACTGCACGCAGAACGACGGTGGACACTGAAGATATCCTTCCCTGATACCTATGCTTGTTGAAACTTGTTTCTGTACATATACGTATCCTAGATTACAAATGAATTAAGAACAAAATTGGCCCATGGGCAAATGGTGCGTATAATGGGTCGGGGAATGCTGAATGCTAAAGGCGTTTTGTGCGACTGAGGAGTCAAAACGATACAATGACAATGAACATTGAATTTATACGGGTTAAGAAACGTTGCTTTACAAGTCCCGTTGGGTAGTTGGTGGGGATATCAACATAACAATAATAATGATAAGGATAGTAAAATAGTTAATACTTTAAATATGAAAATAAGGACTTATCGTTTGCTTCGCCGCAGTCCTGCGATCCTCTTAGATTCACAGCATCCACAGTTAACAACAAATAATTCCAGGGTAAACTCCAGATGTAGGATGGAGACATAGTGTTAAGTAACAAAGTGTAAGTGGATGAGTGCATCGTCCAACCATCTCTTAAATACTGTTAGTGTTGGTGCAGAGGCGACCGATTCTGGGAGAGCATTCCACGGGTGACAGACATGAATGGAAAAGAAATTTCTGCGGCACTCCAGACGACTGTATTGTTCTGCGAGTTTTAATGAGTGGCCCCTCAGGTTTGTATTGCTGCTGAGTTGCAGTAAAGGGCGGCACACATGATGTGGGTCTCGCAGAATCAAGTATCTCATAATCAGGTCGCCTCGTAGTCTGCGATAGCTTCCAGTGAACAATCCCAGTAGTTGCAGCCTCTCCAGGTAAGAAAGATTGCGCATTCTAATTACGTTCTTAGATACCCGGCGTTGTGGCTGCTCCAGCGCATTAAGGTCGTGTGTCAGCCATGGATGCCAGGTTTGAATTGCGTATTCGACATGGGGGCGAACATACGCACTGAGCATTTGTCGAAATATGTAGCTGTTTATTTGTCCAAACGCTCGCCTCAACATCCCGACGTGTTGGTTTCCGGTCATCGAGGCCTTTTCGGATTGCCTGGAGAAACCCAAGTCATCTTGAACCAGGACACCCAAGTCACGTTCGAGAGTTGGTTACTATGGCAATGCTTACAAATCCAAGAAAAATGAAATCGAAGGTGTGGCAGCGACCTCCTTTTGCGAACCGAGATGTGTCAATGCGCCTAGTCTATGTGACCTGCGTGATCTCAAGCAACGATATGCTTTGACGATCGTTTTCGATGTCGTCTGTTTTCACCAAAGCCCGATTGCGCAGACGTTTGAAATACCCCTAGACCACAAACCAATACTAAGAATGCTTGTTGTGTCAAAAGTATCGATTCGCGTGATTTAATGAGTTGTGCCATCTGCTGGCTATGAGCATAACTTGAAACAACTCCCTGGTAAGGAAAACCTAGTGAACCGATGCTCACAGTAGGCTTCCGTTGCTAAAGGTTCTAAGCTACACGCCAGTGCTGCATTGAACCAACCACTACGATTGATGATCCACTGTGTGAGCTTCTGGAGGGGCGACAGCTACGTACTCAGTTACATCTTATAACACTCGACAAGCACAGAATGATTGGTGTTTCCTAGTTCTCGGTAAAATAACGCTGCGACAAGATAACAAAGGTTTCTGCGGCCCAGTCAAATGTCCAAGGTGTGTTAAGACGAGATGAACAAGAGGGTAACGTGAGAATAGGCTACGCGGTAACCGGTAATCTTTAGACATTATCTGTTTGCAACGAAATGGTAGTTCTCGGTAGTATGACACACACCTGAAACTAACGTTGCTGCGTTAAAATGTATGTAAAGTAGTGAAAACGTATGAATAATCCCCTCAAGGTACCATTATTCCCAATGTGATATGCACAATTAAAAATGTCTTTTTGCTGAAGTGGTTGGTTGGAATCTAGTCCTTGGGATACCATACCGTTGGCCATAGTTGTGTTTTGCCATTGAATTTGATAAATCTAAGCGCCAACCAAATATCCGTTGCTTTGGTCCAGCTTGGCCTGTATGCTTAAATGAGAACATAGTTATAAATGTGGCATAAAAAAGCCAGTTAACTGTTCGACTCATTCGCTAATAATTTTATTAGATGAGTGTAAAGTCTACAAATTATTGCTCACAACACGTCCGGCCTTGAGGTAATTAGGTCGCTTCGTTATGGTATAGGTATGTGATATCCTAGGAGACAACTTGTTACTATACTGTGCGCCATGAAGAGCGACAGGGCATGAGTTCTCACGACATATAGTTCAGATAGGTTTCCGTGGTGGCATTCGAAAACTGTCAGGTTAGATGAAGAGTGCAACTAACTGATCGATCGAAACCCTGAGAATAGCTTTTAAACTCATGACAATGATACACCTCCGCAAAAAGTTGTCTTCACTCAACGACGTGCAACTTCGTTATTGTACAGTTATTTGTGGCATCGTATAACGCAATCTAGAGTGCAAATAGTCCTTGTTGAATTACTGCCGCCTTACATTGCAGAACCTAAACTAAAAAAGGGGTTTCGACAAGTTTACCAGCATACCGCCATACATTTGACAGAACACGCACACTTTTCCGCCAAAGTTGGAATTGGGATACTAGTTGCGAAATATACCACTATTTTTCTAGAAGTTGAACCTTTATTGTGCACTGCATAGTGAATGTTTAGCTTTTACCAAACTATGTTCGGCTCTATTTCACAGGTGCCTCACTTAAATAACATCGCTTTGGATTCCATTAGACAATCTTTCCCATTTTACCATGGAATGGAGCGTATCGGAAATCGCATCGCTTACTCGCGTTGGCCATTTGATAAAGAATGGCCCCCAATGGAGCTTCACTGTCCCTGTACCAAGAGCGCGCGCAGCACACATTGCTGTTCGTTCCAGCGCGAGCGCATGCAGACCCAACGGAAACCACAATGCGGTGATATGGGAAATGAACAAAGATTCAGCTTCGACTGGGATCTGACATCCAATTTAGACTGGAGCCGAGTAGAGTGTCTGGATGAAGCAAATGCGTTCACGGTCGGAGATCGTCAGCTGATCGATGATTTACGAAAAGTATGCTGCACCCACGGTCGCATGACACAAAGGTGGTCCAAGAGAAGTCTGTTACTGCAACGTATGGGTGCAATGACCCGTGAAGAAAAGAACGTGAGTTATAGTTCATTTGATCCTGCGATACATATGGAATTAAATCGCTCCCAGGAATCAATGTGTAGTGTGCTACCTTCCATGTATATGCATACTGCGACATTTTTGCAATGTATTGTATCAGGATTGAAAACCTTTTGGAATGTTTCTTTGTTTTTCGAAACACCCAACAGTTGTTGGTAGGGAGATGGCACAAAGTAGACCTGTCTCGTACCGCTTGGTAATGCTCATTTATAGTATCTAGAGAATGATTCCCACATTAAGTGTCATCCTTTTGAATGCCTGTTTTCTGGAGTATGAACCCAACTACGCCATTATTCATTATTTCGTTCAATAAACTTTACACTGATTCTAGATCATAGGGCTTGCTTGCTCACCTTTTAAGTACTCATTCTTTCACCTGTGTACATATCGACTTACACACCTAGTAGTTCATATATATATAACGTGCAGCCACGGCTACCAACAACCTCACCTTTTCATTTTGTTCTTTCCTCAGTTGTTAATTAAAAGCTCACTTTCTCGTTCACTTATATTAGTGCTTGTGTAATAAATTACCTCCTTGCTTAGTTACTTGCTAGCTATATTTAGTTATCCACGGTGCTTAAGTGATTGCTGGGTTTAACCCCATGAACACACATAAGCGTTATCCAATTATTAGGATACACATGGGACCCCGAAACGGAAAAAAGTAAGTGTTCTCCGAACCCCACACAAGATTTCTGTCGTATAATCGCCTGATGTAGATGATAAGCACAAATTGAACTGTTTGGTCAGTCGATTCTCTTCTGTTGTGTACATTAATGTAATAGTCGGATGAAGAAGCAATCGAGCACAACTGTCTGCTAGATGTCACGGCCTACTTTTATTTGGATTTCGTTCTTTTGACCTCTTACTAAATTTAACACTTGCTTACATACATGTTCACATGATTGTCGGCATCCAGTTCCAGGTTCGCATGTCCCTGTAGCCTGCGTAGGGGAATCACATGATGCCAGTACCTACAGAGTAACCATAGGTTGCTTGCGCTGCAACACCCACAGCTCCATCCACACACCACAAATCCAGTGTAAACTCGAAGCAACAAGACTGGGATGCATGTATATTAAAGTCGAGATTGATTCGGAGCCGGCCCACACTCCTTCAGCTTGTCCATCCTATCTCTCGACCTGGGGCATTATGCGCACAACGCGGTTGTTGGGCCATGGTCCATGCAATGCTGGGCGCATCAAACCACTCTTTGATCTTAGCATCGACCAGCTGTTTCCCGGAGCCAGTTTTCGATAGGTAGGTACCTTTTGGATATTCACATCATTTGCACTCAGACAGGGGATTTCAATCGGTAAACACCTAAAATGTAATCAAATTGATACGCAGGCACACATACGGACCAACTGTAGCGATGATGAAGCACACGTGCTATACCGACCGCATGACTTTTATGGGCTGATAAATGAAATCAGAATTAGCGTAGTTATCGAGCGCTGCGCTGATATTTACCTATTCAGCTTAGTCGTTATCTTTTCGATGTTAGCCCTTGGTGGTCATGCTTGTAGTTTATCAGGCCGGTTTGCTTGAGGCACACACGAAAGTATGTGTCACAGCATTATGGGCTTGACTTCAATGAGCTAGGCTTCCATGGCAACTGTCGCTACCGTAACCTCCATTTCCCTTCCTCATGCAACAGTACTTTCTCTTGCACCTAGGCAACCGCATTCTTGATGTACTGAGGCCATTGACCTCCATAAACTGTCACTTCTTCCCAACACCTAAAGACGACATTAATCCGGGGGAAATAACTCGATCATGTTCTAGTAGGGTAGATTCAGTTTGCCAACGTTCCACTTTCCTGCACGCAGTCAGCCATACACTAAGCGCTTCGGTATCTTGTTCGCATCAATACTGCGCATATGTCCGAGTCACCTCATGTGACGCAACAGAAATCTACAGTCTATTGCGTACGTGCCACTTCGGCAGAGCGCTTCCGTGTCAGGATCTCTGCTCCGCCAACCGATGCACTCACTCCGACGCAAGTGTTCTTGATGAAAGTGCCATAGATTTCGAGTGTTCTTCGTGTACAGCGTTCACATTTTGCCGACGTAATGATTCACCTACAACACCAACAACTTTTACACCGACAGCTTAGCACCAACAGTCAGCTGATTCTCATTCCACATCGGATGGCCTAACTTGCCAACTAATGCAGCCGCCTTCGATATGCGAATGCGCAACCCACTCTTCGTCTGTAAGCTGGCGGATATTACGCTCCCAAGGTAACAGAATTTCGATGCTGTCTCCAATTTGTCACCGGCAACCTGGACTTGCAGCAGTCACACGGATTCCATTCCTGATGAAAGCTGAGAAAGCAGTTTTGCTTATATTGAAGGTCAGCCCGAATTTGGCCGGTTCAAACGAGAACAGAAATCATGTGCTGCAACACATCCGCGCTGTGTGCAAACAACGTAGTCATCGGTAAACAGATACATACGGATGGTTCTAACACACTAGGATACTCGCTTCGAAACAACGAATGTCAAGCAACACACCATCTAGACCGTTCTCTACGCGGACACCTCAGACACAATCATTCATTAAACTCACAGGATACCATTGCAATTAGGAAAATATTACATTGGGAAGGGACTAAGACACCCTAGCTTCACACTCGAGACAGCATCAAAATCATCCGACGTTTGTCTACACAGCTGTACCCCCACCCGCACCCCGCTGTGCAGACACTCAATTCAACTCATAACATTACTCAGGCAACCGAACTAACGCAGCACCAGCCACAGTACGTGGCGGTCCACTGTGGTTAATGTACTGGTGAATACAATGGTGGATACAGTAGCTGGTGTTGTTCACAGCATTTCTGTCGCAAGTGACAAGCCTCGAACACCATGATATAGTGGACTAGCAGGGGGAGTTAAATGGTATAGGTAGAAATTCGTCACATCTAGACTCACTCAGGCAGTCGTCACACGCCCGGAAAAGCACTGCACGCGCGGTTCATCCTTTCGGGAACCGTCAGCAGTGCGCATTCCATCAGACCCTGGTAGGGCTCGAACTCACAACTCGACTGTTGCCAGTCCGTGACTGAGACCACTGAGCTACGGGGGACGGCAACGACCATCGTGATCAGCTATTAGATGTGATATAGCGCCGCTCAGTATCCATTAACTTACATGTTACTGCCTTGCATAGGACAGGGTAGCCCCCTCAACATGCGACGTGCTTAACAAACCTAAGCCGTCAATTAACTTATAGCATTATAAGCAGTTTGGTCTGCGTACTGATTAGAGAAGAGTAGTAAGGGGAGTTGGATGGTATAGGCAGAAATTCGTGTGAGGGCTGTCTGAGTGAGTCTGGATGTGACGAGTTGCTAACTATAACATGCAGCTCCCTTACTACTCCTCTGTAATCAGTACGCAGACTACACTGCTTTTAACGCTACAAGTTAATGGGCGGCTTAACTTTGGTAAGCTCGGCGCTTAGTGTGGGGCTACCCTGTCCTCTGCACGGCAGTAACATGTAAGTCAGTGGATAATGAGCCGCGCTATAGCACATCTAGTAACTGATTCACGGTGCTCGTTGCCGTCCCCCTAGGCCAATGGTCTCAGTCACAGACTGACAACAGTCGAGTTGCGAGCTCGAGCCCTACCAGGGTCTGATGGAATGCGCACTGCTGACGGTTCCCGAAAGGATGAACCGCGCGTACAGTGCTTTTCCGGGAGTGTGACGAATGTCTGAGTGAGTCTAGATGTGACGAATTTCTACCTATACCGTATGTATAGGGCTGTTTCCCGAACGGAACCCGCACTTCTCCTCGGCTACGTGCGAGTGAACGACCTACGTAACGAGGCGGTTGAACAGGATTCGGGCTACCACTTTCTCCACACAACCTAGCAAGTTGATACCAGGATAGTTTGTGGTGTATTGCTCAATGCTTTTGCCGTTGTGCACAGGTGACACAAGGGCATATCCCAGCCTAGCTGGCACATGTTCTTCAAACCACACGCGTGGCATCAAGTGATGTAGTACAGTTACCTAAGTGTGTGCAACATGTTTCAACATGTCTGACAGTATCCGATCGGCTCCGTCGCACTTGTCATTTCGCACTTGAGCATGCACTTACGGCGTTTCACCAGTTTCGGCTTTTGAGCAAGACACCATGTCCAGTTGTTGCATCCCGTGCAACAAGAGGCAGTCAATCCCTAAATGGATTTGCAAGAGCTAATAGAAGTGCTTTCGACAGATCTGCATTATGCCTGTAGTCTGAGTACAAGCGTCACACGAGTCAGTTCACCAGCATACTCAGCGGCGTCAGCATGGGTCCATACACCACCTTCAAGGAGTCAAACAATTCCTTGTGTTAGCGGCGTTCGACGTAGTATTCCAGCTGTTTCGCCTTCTCGGTTCACCATGCATTCTTGTTGTGACTGAGCTCTCGAGTCAGCCGTCATTGAAGCTAGTGAAACTGTCTCTCTCTGCATCGGCCGTCTACATGTGCAACGAATGCTGCATTTGTCTCCAACACCAATGCGCCAATGGTCGCAGTGTTATCACCAAACCAATCGAGCCGCTTAGTTTGTGCGCCTGATCGTTTCCTCGGCAGCAGCATTCACCTGTTCTCTGATTTGGCACAACATGTCGCCGGGTGCGGTGATGCCCAGGGGACGAACATTGAATTTCAGCCGCTAATTCACGATAGGCAATCAATACATAGATCTACGAAAATACAGTCAAACTTGTCTAAGGTGACCACTCAAAGGACCGACAAACAGTGGTTGCCTTGGCTAGGCGGTCGCCATGGCCAGGTTCATGCATGGGGACATTAGTCATAGGAGAAAGCGTCGGGGATGTTTTTGGCTGATCAGCATAGGTAGGTGGTCTCCATAGACCGCACCAAATTGTGATCAGTGCCACGCTCAGCTCCATGCATCTCAAGGGTCACTGGCACTTCGCTCATGTCACGTTGGTGTACGGTGACAGATGAGCGTGACCACTCCCTGGGTGCGTCCAAGTGGCAGACGGTGTGTTCATGGTCGTCAGGTCACGTGTGGCGCACGATGAATGTAATCGGTCACCGTTCCCATTGGCTGATCCCGATTGTGTCTGGTCACACCGCTACATCGCGGCCAACGCGGGCGTTGAAATCACCCCGTAGGAATAGCGGGTTGCGTCAGGGTATAGACAGTATCACGGAGGACAACTGAAGACAGAACTGACTACTCGTGTCATCAGGAGAACACATGGTGGGATTACACATGATAATAAAACTAGTAAATTGTCACTCTTCCAAGTCGTAGTCGAAGATTCCTCAACGCTAGGTTGGTGGTAGTGGGCTCCGCCACCAGCTGGCTGTTTCGGCAGTGGGATAGTGCAAATCCGAAGCCACGTCCAGGTGGTGCTGTGGTGACGTTTTCCACCCAGAAGAACGTATTACCAGTACCATCCTCAAGCAGCTTCCCTTGAACAGTGAACCGAGTTTCGCTCAGTGCTGCAATATGTATCCTGTATTGCGCGAGTCCCTCCGCGAATAAGATATTACATCTCTCGGGACGCTCACTCGTATTCCGGTCGAGCAAAGAGCGCACGTTTCACCACCCGATGATGCGTGTTTTGTTCGAAGGCATGCGATTGCGCCGGGCATTCTCTGCTGTGGTGACCTGGATCGAAGGTAGTAGTGGTTTGGATGAGATGGGGACGGGGAGAGTATGTGCAGGGGAAGAAAATGGGAGGCATCAGCGGTAGCATGTTTTCCCCTATCCACCCCGCTGTGTGCGGCAGATAAGACGAGCCTTGTCGGTCCACCACCACGGTGCGACGACCGATGCCGCGTGGTATGATCATTATTGGCATGATTCATGGTTTAGTTTTGGTTGGTGTACTGCCATGACGTCCACAGTTGAATAGCAGGAGGACTCGGGTCAGCAGCCAAAGCCTTCGATAAAATGTACTTTTGCAAGTCAGCAGGACGCGCGACATGAATCAGTGAACCAACACTCGCGGAAGTGGGTCTTGACTCTTAGCTAGAAGAAGAATGTAACCTAAATCCCACACAGTGGTTGCCACGAAGAGGCGTTCAGTACATGAATTCACTGCACAGCATTGGGAGACAAGGATGGACGATCTGTCAGGATCTAGCTACCACAAGTCTCAAGGCACTATGGACTCATCCGCCCCATGCATTTATACATTTACTTACTTACATGACTACTTACTTACCCACTTGGCCACTCATGCGGTCACTTATGCACTAAGTTATTCCTTGGTTACTTTCTTTCTCAGTTACGTATTTACTTGCTTATGTAATTATTTGGTCATTTGTTGACTAATCTGATTGCTCGCTTGTTGTTCCAAGAATTCACCCACCTAGTCGCTCACTACTTGCCTACTTATGTTCTGTTTGCCCTTGTCTGTGTGGTGGAAATAATTAATGGAGAGGTTAAAGCACGTGTACCGGGTGGAACATTTGGGTTATTATTTCATCTGACCATTTGTCTTGCAGAGGACTAGCTACCAGGCCAGAAAACGTTACCAGTTCAGTAGTGTCCCGGAACACTACATATATACTTCAGCTCCGGTTCTAGTGATCCAATCGACCAAGGTTTCCTTCGATGTAAATGACGGTCGATATTGAAATTGCGCGTTGCAGTTCCATCACACAACGCGTAGTTGAGTAGTACCCTCCAATCAATTATCATTACAGCTTCCAGAGCCTATTCTGCACCTAAAAGCGGATACAATACGAAACGCGTACATCTACCGAATTTTCATGAGGATTCGTTGTATCTAGACACAACCAGATAGCCAGTACCAATCCAGGAAAGCGCCAGACCGCCTATTCGTCTTATTGGGACTCGCCAGTAGCTCGCATCCGACCAATCCTGCCGGATTCGAACCCACGACCTTGCTCTTGCTAGCCAGCGACTTGTGTCACTGAGCCATGACTGATGGCGGTGAATTGCCACAACCTATCTAACAGCGATATATCGCGTCACATCATTGTCATGCATATTTTGAACGTGCAGAGGACAGGGCTGGCTGAATGCATCTAACAGTTTCACAACTCAATGTGTCAATAAAATAAACTGCCTCACTTTGAGTGTCATACGAAAGGAATTGCAGACAAATGGTTTTTTCCAGACAAAGCTAGTGAGAACGCCGTTGGTGAAAATTTGCCTTTTGCACGACGAACAAGAATTGCAGTTCGTAATGTAGAGATATTGGTGAATCATCAGATCGATCTTCTAAACAATTATGAAGATAGGGAGGAAAGACAGGCGATTTCAGGATGATGTTTCACTAGGCTATTGAGATCCGGGAGAAACACTTGGTGCAGAAGTTAGGAATTCAAATTTATGTGAACGACCCGCCACGTGGTTATATTACTGCACACAATCTTTATAGAGACTTCGGTTTACTTTGAAGCAGACTTCCATTATTCCGATCGTCGGTATCATAGATAGAACGGAGAGGTTTCAGTGTTGATCACTTCCGACAATGCACTTCACGATCAATTTCGCCCACATGTGAACTCATCAGGTAGAAAAAATAGCCGAAACTGGGAGTCGAACTCGGGATCTAAATAGTCTACGACTGAGACCTGAGATCCGTGGGCAATGTTTGGCACAGTGGAATGACGGCTACCTAACGCAGAGTAAACCGAGATCACACTAGAGGTATAGTGGCACACTCCAATCTCACGGCAGGTACTTCAAAGCCCAACTTAGCGTTGCACTATGTTGCATTATCCGAGTAGGAGCTGAGTGTATTCAGTCACTTAGACTCGTGAAATGCAGAGCGTTTCTATTCTGGCCTATTAGTTATTTAATAAGATTGGACCCTCACGCATCATCACGTCCTTCGGTCCTAATGCTACACTGCTTCATGCAGATGTTCTATTTCAGTGCAACCAGAACAGCATTCATTCTCGCCACCTTGAGCCAAAATGACGAACTTCCAGACGGAACACGCTTCCACAGGGTCGCTCTTTCAAAGCCATCTCTCCTACAGTCCCTACAGTACCGGTTCGAAACAGCGGTACCGAGGAATGTGAGATGTATTCTCACAGCAAATCATAGGGCCTCCTCGTCTCATTCAGCGGATGTAAATTCTACCGGACGACAAGCATCCAAACCGCTTCCTGTGTACATCGACTGGTGTGGTGTAGTACGGGACAAGCATGGACCCTTTTGGCCACTAGGAACCGGACCGCTGTATCCAGTCCCGGACCACTTCCGTCCGGGGGCAACGGAGCACCGAATTGTGGAAATGAGCACAAAGTGTGAGCATTAAAACTAACCTGTTGTTTTTATCAATGGATGTTTTCTTGCTCAGATTTTGCTCAAAACTGATATATGAGCACATCCGTATGTATAATTTTTTAACAACAAATCTTCGTCTGTTGACAGTTTAGGGCCGCAGGCTAGTTAGCCCACATTCGACTGAACTACATTGGACTCTGCTTGGTGTAATCACTGTTATTAAGGTAGCTAACATTTCTAAATGAACACGGACTCAAACACATTTGTTCTGTTCTAACATTGAGAGGACGCATTGATTTTTCATTTTCGACAGATTCGTTGTTACACATCTCGAAAGCAGCAACAAAGCTGGACTGGTCAAAGGGGGACAGCTCAGCAAGCTGGGACACACCGCGGCTAATGTATGATATGGAAACCAGTCCCCAGTGGACTCCAACAACTTTGGAGATGCTCGCGCTGTGCTCACAAATGAACTCTAGTGACCCAGGGAAACAGGACGTGCCCCCATCTCTCGTGTTTGAATCGCGTTTCGAATGTGGTAACCTTTGGCGTGCGAAGCGAGTGTAAGTATGTTTGGGCAAATCCTCATATCATCCTGTTCATCCTTCTTAAGTGCACAAAATGTACACTGTTCATCTGTTCAAGTCACACTGATTGGTATGGACATGTGTCATAAGGCAGAGAGAAGGACTTGCACTCGCTGCAAAACGGCGCTGCACAGGAAGAGCTAGAGATGTGTTACTCCTCTGCGTTCCTAACTTGATATACCATAAGCTAGGGAAGCATTTGGGTGTAAACTGTCACACCATCATAAAATTGCAGCTCAAAAGTTTCCAGTAACGTGACTTGCCTTAACATCACTCCATCGTTGATGGGGAGACTGTGCACCTCCACTTCGGATACGGTCCCAGTGTTCCGAATTGCAGAGGCTGAGTTCAAAGTCAACTGAGGCCACAACTGAGATTGCGTAATCTAAGACAAACGGCGGGTGCTCAAAAACCTAACAATCAAGCCCCTACCTTATTGGATGTCATTTGAACCCCCCATTGTTTTGCTTGAGATTGCAATGCGTAACCTCAACCACTTTTCCGTATCAGAAATAGGCAATGCTAATGGTTGATTGCTGTTCCTCGTAACGCTAGATCCAAAGTCTGCGTCAGGAGTGCAAAGACTCACTGGAAATAGTTACCACTGCTTAAAAATAAGATTGGTGTATCAAAAGCGTATGTGAATACATCGAATATGTCAACGATGAAAATACGCAATAAAGTGTAAGTTTTCTGCTAGACTGCCTTGATAATAACGTAAGTGCTCGAAACTAAGGGCATCATTAACCCTAGGAGAGAGTTACTGCATATGGTTAGGCGATTACAGAGTAGTAGAGTGGATGTTTTTATTTGTAGAAGGTTCTTCACAGTCAACTATAGTTAGACAATCACCACAATTCCGAAAAACTATTACGAGACCATTATAGCCTATTGGGATTCATCAGTTGCGTGCTACTGTCCGATCTTGTTGGACCTGAACCTATGAGTACCTTTTCCCGAGGTAACAATTTAGGCCACCGAATCATGCGTGACGAGTCCAGTCAAGTCAAGAATTTGCTTCATGCACCCATGAAGAGTGAATATTGGGTTACAAGACACCAGCATATGAAACGGATAACTATTAAAATGAAATATTACAGGAACATGGTTATAAAAGGGTAGTTAGTAGGAAATGCTGAAAGAGCCAAAGTCATTTGAGTAATTTACTCACTAGTTCTTTATTGGCTAAATTTTGAGCAATCAAAAAACAGGACAAGCAACAGATTAGTAATATGCCATATGCCAGATACAGGCACAAATCGTTTTGTACATGTTTGTAAGCAAGAAGTTCTATAAAATTTCGTACAACACCTTATGGGGGGTGACTACCATCACTGAGAATTTCGAAAGCAGCTTTGTCCAAGAATTGATAAAAATCCGACTTTGAAATTCCATTACATCGAGATAGACGTTCCACTGACCTGGCAATCACTCTGAAGTCCTTATTCAAAACGACCGGAAGGATTACTAGAGAGCAGTAAGTGCTGCAGGATAACACGTACGCAGTGATAAAACGTAGGGTCAGACAACAGGGAACGGAGAAAGTTCTGCAACGGGTAACATCGAACCAGAGTCTCCTGACTTCGGCGCATATTTCGTCTACTTGAAGGGGGCACGTGAGACCGCAACCCAGTGTCATTCCCAGGTATTTCACTGAGGTGGAATACCTTCGCCCTCGGCACAAACTTGTGGACAGTGCGTAAGGAGTTGCTGACAGCGAATACCTTTAAACAGTGAAAAATTAACACCTTTGCACTTTAAAGTGCTCAACGATAGGTAACGTGTTTTGGACAAGGTTATACGGTTGTCCAGAAGGCTTTATAAACTAGCTGATGATACTACGGTTTGCGAATGGACACCCAGCTTGAAGTAACGTAGGAAGAAAATGAAATTTGGAACGGTATTCATGGTGAGTGATGAGAGTTGTTCTCAAAACCTTAGCAAGTGGAGTGCGTTTGGTGAAGTGATGCTTTAGTAGCAGTAGGCTGAATTCCAGGTTCGAGCAGATCACTCAACAGCAGTACACGGTTAAAGCAGCCAGTGGCATTGGGATAGTCTACGAAGCAGAGGCTGGTGGTTTTGTTTTCAAGTCAAGTCAAGTCAACATAAGTTTTGTGTACCCTGCGGGGTTCACTTTTAGCATTCACTCCACCACTGCGGACAAACTGGATGATGATTATGTCAATGAACAATTGGGGAGAAAAGTGGAAAGTATACACAACCGTCATAGGAACAACTATTCTCACAGTATGTTTATGACTTTCACTGGGTCAAAAGATCGGGCGTGATAGATAAGGAAAGGCTATTACTATACGATGAAGTACGGGAGAATAAAAACTTGAATTTCAATAGCGTCATTCCTCATTCATCATACACATCACCTAGAGGTTGGAAACACCTCAGGTATTGTGCCGCAATACATAAAGGAAAAGGAAAATACATACAACATTTTCATGCCAGCTGAGCTACCGGAAACGGATGGGCATCATTCCGGTAAGCTACCAGGCGGTTACTAGACGAAACTAAACATTATTATGTATTACGCTACGAAATGAGATCGTAGATGGAGGGGGAGGCTGAAAGGGATGGGCTGGGACAAATAAACTCACAGCACGAACGCCACTGAGGTCCGCTCCTTGCCATGTCAGCAAGTGTATCCAGCCAAACGTGTTCACCGTCTTTCGGACCCCAATCAGGAAGCCGAGACGCTCCAACCGAGGCCAGCTCAGAAGTGAGGGTCTTCATTCGTCTCGAGCAAGTCAGCGCTTGGCCACCCCTCCTCTTCTTCCAGCCACATCCCCGGTGAGCAAACAACGTACGTCGTGGAAGTCGGTGTGCCGGCATGCGCAACGCGTGGCCCAGCCATCGGAGCCTGGTGTGTGAAATGACGGTGCTGAGCGGTTCATTTCCTTTTCCTGTGCCGTAAACAAGGCGTCGGACACACTCGTTGCTCACGCGGTGTTCCCACCAGATGTGAGCTAAATTGCGAAGGTACAGGTGGTCGAACGTAACTAGACTCTTCAGGTCCGCTGCTTTAAGCGGCCAGGTTTCACAACCGTACAGTAGGGTCGAACGTACCGCTACCTTGTACAGTCTACCCTTCAGGGCAAGAGTGATGTCGAGCCGCGGCCATAGGTGGCGAAGATTAGCAAAAGCACTTCGAACTTTTGCTATACGGTTCGTGACCTCGTCTTCGATCCCAAGGGCGCTGATACAACTTCCCAGGTAGTTGAATTTTGAACGACTTCTAGCTAGTCCCCACCAAGGGTCAGCGCAGGAGGTGATCCCTGCCAAGCTTGGAGGAACGCATTGCATTTCGATGGTGCGAAGCAAAGCCCGAAGTGGCTGACAGCCAGTGCTAATCTGTCCAGCGCGGCTTGGCACGTTTGGGAGCTATCACAGATGAGGACAATGTCGTCTGCATATTCTAAGTCAATGTCGTTCTTCTGGGAGTAGCTCCACACCTTCCAAGTCATTTCCTGCGAATGCAATCCCCATAACTTTGTAAATAGCGAGGTTGAAGAGGAAAGGTGACAGCGGACATCACTGTCTCACACCGCTGGAGATATTGAAGGATGGCGACAGCTTGCCGCAAGCTCTCACTCTGCCCGTACTGCACGCATATAATGCTTGGATATTTTTTTCGCGGGTACACCTTTCCTGAGTAGACACTTCCAAATCGCACATCGATCAACCGAATCGAAGGCACCTTTGATGTCGAGGAACACGACAACGGTGGGCCACCAATATGTGTGAAAGGTACTCCAACTGATGCAAGGTGAAGAGGTGGTCGATGCAGCCACGACCCCGACGAAACCCCGCTTTCTCCTCAAGAACCTGGCTTTCGTGATCGCCAGTCAGTCTGTGAAGGATTATGGAGGTGAGTAATTTGAAGGCAATGGAGATCAGACTGGTTTCTCTATGGTTGTCGCATTCCGAACCCGATCCTTCTTTGAAGATGGGAACAATAACTAGTAATTCATGTAAAGCATCAATAAGAGTGGAGCCTCCGAATTTGAAGAGGGCTGGAGGAAGATCATCTGGTCCCGCAGTTTTGTTCAAGTTCAACAGTCCGAACTCACTTTCGAGTTTTGAGCGAGAGGGTGGATCCAAAGGGACAACCCACAGAGCATGGCGATCACTGGCCGGCGAAGAATCGTACAATTCCAGCCGATTAAATTGCTTTTCAAAATGCTCAGCTCAACGCTCCAAACGCTTTGACAAATTGTGAATAGGCTGTTCATTCACTTCCCGTACAGTTTCCCTAACACCAGGTCTCCTGCTGCCCGTTTCCCGTATCAGACGGAATAACTTACGATGGTTGCCAAGGGCAGCGGCCACTTCCATCTCTGACGCACGATGAGACCACCAAGATTCGCAGTCTCTCTTCAGACTAACACGGAGTCTTGTCCGGAGCTATTTGCGAGTTTCATTGTGTTCGCTTCCAGCCGGAATATACCGGTGAGCGTCGATAAGTTCCAGAAACCGCGAAGAGACCCAATATCCATGTTGGCTATTAGACATACCAGATGGGGATTTTCCTGCTGCTAGTAAGGTCTGATGAACATGTGACCAGTGACCATCAATTGTCTCCAGTGAGCACTTACTCAACTCGCATGTCAACGTATTCGATATGCATTCAGAACAGCAGGCTTTATCAGTTGGCTGGTGTCAAGGCGCTCACAGCGTCGTCGTGGGCGTCCGCCAAAACGCATCCGCATGTCAGCACATACAAGTGCATGATCGGTGTCCATACATGTGCTCCAAATTGAGCGACATTTCTGGATGCAGCCTCTCCAGCGGTAACTGATAGCAATGTGATCGAGCTGCGTCCAAGCTTGGTTCGAGCCCGGTGGGCGCCAAGTCACCCTCCGGCGGGTGCTGTGTCGGAAGTTAGCACTCGCAAGGAATAAGCGGGCATCTTCACACAAATGAAGTAACCGCCCACAGTTATCATTACGGGAGCCTACACCGTG